ATGTGGCTTAGTATGACCCTAGACCCAGAATAAGGAAACCAAGGGACTGTCTATTCTTAATGACATTTTAGTCCAAAGGGTCTTTTGAAATCAGTCTGTTCAAATTCCTACCTAATATCTAGCCTCTACTTGAATACTTCCAGAAATTGGTAGTAGTTTGCTTGAAGAGACTGGTTGCATCTCTATTTTTGGACAGTCTTATTTGTTTGACTATTAAAAGACAGAGTTATTTGCTTCATATTTCTTCAACTCTTGGCTCTAATTTGACCCTGTGGTTTGCTCTCTTATATGTTATAACTCCAAATATTTGAAGATGGTAATTGTGTCCATTTTTAGTGTTGTCTTTGGGCTAGACATTTTCAAGTAATTCAGCCATTTATTTTATGGTATTCCCTGGCTTCTCACCATCTTGGTCACTCTACATATTTTATTGTGTTTGTCAATGTCCTTTTGTATGTATTTTTAATGTTTCAAATACACCACGTATGGTCTGAACAGCAAGTAGCATTGACACTGCTGCCTATTTTTATCTGAACACTGTGACCTAGGAAAGGTTTGTCAACCTGTGACTCTAGGGTTTCTTAACGGTCAAGTCAAACAGGCTTTTAACTGAGCTTTTGTTAACTAAAAACTTCAAGTCATCTTCATGTTGCCAGGACAGGTCCCCCCTCTCCCCATCAGCTTGATAACCCTTAAAGTGTTTAAAGTAGCACATTTACCATCATTTTTGTTGATTTCCACTCATCCTCACAGCCCACTGAGAATTCAGGATTATTTTTTTATTATATACATCTTCATTACTAACTCCCAGAGTTGAGTTGTCTATAGATTTGGCTGGTATGTCTTTGACTTGGTTCTTTTCAAAATGCTTAAGACTGGGCTCTTTGCAGGTTAACATTGCTCCATAATCTTTGAGAGTGGTATTCAGCAACTGTGAATCTGTTAAATTGTATTGTCATCAAGCTCCTTGCTACTCAAACTGATTGTAGGGTTAGCAGCATCAGCATTATTATATGGAGGCTTATTTAAAATGCATGCTCTCAGGCCTCACCCCCAATCTACTGAATCAGAACCTGTATTTTTACAAGATTTCCAGGTGGTTCATTTGTATGCTGAAGTTTGAGAAGCATGGATCTAGCCTATATTTCTCCATAAAATAGGATGCAGAAGCTTTTCAGACTGTACAAAAACCAAGCCAGACGTTTCAGCAGTATTATCCTGATGCCTCTACCAAAAAGTTTCTCAACTCTGACTGTACAATGGAATTACCTGCGGAATTTTTTAAAATGTTGCTGTCTGGCCCCAGAGAAAGCTCCTCAGGTGATTTTAATGTGAGAATCTTGTAAAGCAAGTTCTATGTGAAAGAAGACTGTGTAATGCAAATGAGGTTAATTTGACAGTGAATTCCACTTCTGGTGAACATGTTTTTCTACGTGTTTGCAATATATCTGATAGTCTATAGCAGAATTCCACACACACACACACACACACCCAGGTTTTGTGCCAGATTTTGCTGTGTTATCGCTTATAGACGTCACTTTCTTTGCAGATTAGATCATCTGGTATCTCCTGTTCTCTGATTTCTCAAAGATTGGAAATTTTGCAGTTTGGATTTAGTTTTTTTTTTTTTTCTTTGAGAAACTTGGTTTTTTCCACTACTTCCAGTTGGAAGATGATTCTCCTTGCTGAATAAGATAGAAGTTGAGTGCCTCTACCTACCATCTTCTATTAATATACCATCTGTACCAGAGGCTTAGTAAAAGATCTCATTCTTACTTCAGATTTGTTTTTCAAAGCCATTTAAAAGCTCTTTCCCATACTTTTGAAAGTTTCTGTTCCTTGTGGGCTTTAACCTCTGATGCTATTTTTAAGACTTTGTGCCATTCTTGTAATAGTCCTTGGTATGTGATTTTTCTGTTATCTGTGGTTCCTTTCCTTCAAATGTCAGAACTTATCAGGAATTTTTGCCTTCTTTGAAAGCTTTACATTCTTAAAGCCCTTCAACCCTACTGAGTTTTCAGTTTTTAGAAATTATTTTTGAAACTATTGATCTATTCCTTCATAAGTGGACTTGGTCCTTTCATGTTACTACTATTCAGAATATTAATTGCTTAATATTAGCCAAGTGTGATTTTCTTTGGTTTGGGAAATTATGGCTGAACTTTCTTTGTGCTTTTCTGTATTTTTTTAAAATTAACTGTGTGTTATTTATTACTAAAACTAAGTTGTGGAAAATTTTGGCTTCTTTTTTTTTTTCATTGCCTGGCCCATATAACGTTAATGGGTGTTTTATTTAACCTGTTGACTTCTAGTCTTACAGTTTCAAGTTATTTAAAAAACAACATCTTTCAGAAATTTATATAGTTTAGTCTTACCAAAATTAAGAAATCTTAGTTATGAAATTAGGAAACTCCAAAAAATATTAAGGTCTCTCTCCCTTTCCCTTTCCTTGAGATAATTCATCTTATTTGTTTAAAGAATGATAGACTAGTTCTAAGAATAATGATCTAAGAAAAACAGTGGAGAGCCAGATGTACCCATGTATAGACTAAAATTTGTTTAGACTCATCAGACAGGTAGACAGTCTTTTTTTTTTTAATATCCGAAAGATGGTTTGTTTTTATTTTTCTCTAGTATTGACATAAACATCCAGATACTTTATGTTTTGTGTGTTGGATTAAATTGTAGTACCAACATAGATGACTGCTTTTCCACAAATCAGATTTTCACATGTTTGTGAATTAACTTTTATCTTGTCATTGTGAATTTAAGTCAGTCTGGGGTTAGAAGGAAAAGAATATACTATATATATATATATATATATATATATTTCCTAGGGCTGTACAAATAGTGACAATTAAGTTTTGGCTAGTTTTATGTACTATCCAGAGTAGGGGTTGGCAAACTTTTTCTGTAAAAGGCCAGATAGTAAATTTTTTTCACTTTGCTAATCAGAATTGAACATATTACATAATTATTTATATAAAAAGAGAGAAGCCAAATTTCCACAAAGTTTTTCTTGATGTAATAATAAATGAGTACAATGTTTTATAATATAGGTATACTAGTGAGAAGAATGGTATTCTTTTTGGTGGGATAACATTTTGCTTAATTGGAGCTCAACGTTCTTTATCATCAGAATCATTTGCGGATGTCCATTTAGTGTTTTCTGATTTGAAATGAGATTTTACATATTTCATCATTGAAAATGTCTTCACACATACAAGTACGCTGTCTAATCAGTATACAAGCATATAATTTTAATTGTAAATTTGCCCAACTGGATATATTTTAGCTCTACACCTATTTTTTTTTAACCACCATTTCAGTTGTAACACATCTTTGCAGATTCCACCTCAGGTTGTGTTGAATTAGTGTTTCTCAGCTTCTTTGAAAATGTTATCACCTGTAGTTAGTTGTTCATGCAAACTATTCATAGAGACTACTTCTTTAGTTACTTCAAACTCCTCAAATAACTTGACTCCTTGAATAAGGAACTGAATAGTATCAGTTATATTTGTCAACTCATCAAGAGCCAAAGGGAACTACTCAATCATTTGCTTCCTTGTTTTTCATTTGATGATTGATATATCCCAGTATCATCACTTTTTGAGCAACTGTTCTCATTAAAAGGCTAATAATCTTAAACCAGTTTATTTTCTGTGGACTATTTGTTTAGCTTCTGCAGTCAAACACAATTTAGCTAACATAGCATTGATAAATGTCTTTCCTTGCTTAGCCAACAAATGAGCCACTTAGAAACTTACTCTGGTTGAAGCTTCATTAATTTTGTGAGGAAATACTTTGTGATATTTGTTTTAAATTTTCTAAATTTTCAGACCATAGCTTTCTTGTGAATTGTAAATAGTATGATCAGTGCTTAGTCTAATAATATTAATGTATATTTTATTATTTTAGCACAGTTTTAGTGTCATTGTATTATAATATTTGCCATCTACTCTAATAAAATAATCCATACTGTGCCTTTAGAGATGGTACTCAGTGTTCATCAAGTTTTACTGGAATACAGCTGTACACATTCATTTACATATTGTCTGTGGGCTGCTTTCTTGCTATAATGGCAGAGTTGAGTAGTTGTGACAGAGACTGTGTGGCACTGTCACTGCTTTGCACTGGTGATCTGTGTACTGCAAGTTGCAGTGATGAAATTATAACTTGACAGCATGTCAAGTGCCATGCTTATACTGTAACATTTTTCTAAATTACCAGTGCACACTCATCGTATTAAATGGAGAAAGTGGGCTTGACCATTAGCATTTTTAGAACTTCTTTTCTACATGTCTTATCTCTGTGAGAGGCAATAGAGCATAGAGAAACCTGAATTCAGATTGTCCAGGTTCAGCTTCTGGCCTTGTCACTTGTTATGTAACCCTGGTCAAGTTATATAACCTCTCTATACTTTATCTGTTTCTTCATCTGTAAAAAAGTAATAACAATAACAACAGTGTTTGTACACAGTGTCATTGTGAGAACTAAAAAACAAAAGCAATTACAATAGTGCCAAGAATTCAGTAATCTGCTTGGGTCTAGCCTTGTTGAACAGACACCGTTCAATTCTTGCTACACTGCTGAATTCTTATCTGTATTTCTCTAACCAAACTTTACTCTGGACAAGTAGCTAAGAATTTATTTATTGGATCCCATGTAATTTTCACACATTATAAAATATTCTCTTAGAAAAACATTTAAAAGTGTAATACTCATTCTTAGATATCAAGGAGGAAAAATAGTCACCAGGGCTAAGTTTGGTCCATGGGCCATAGTTTGCCAACGCCTGACCTAGTCTTTTCCTAGTATAACAGTGCTTTTCAGTGTTTCTATTATGAAGTTTCCATTCATATGAGGTCTTAAAATCCATGTCTCAACCTGAATTCTGGATTTTCACATAATTAAAACTGTTCTATAGAAGATATACTGACTTTTGTTTTCAAGAGTGATCTCCTTTCTCCTTTTAGATAATTTTCCACTTGTTTATCAAGATGGAAAGCTCAGATTGTAACGATAAAGGAAGTGGTGATCAGTCTGCAGCACAGCGCAGAAGTCAGATGGACCGATTGGATCGGGAAGAAGCTTTCTATCAATTTGTAAATAACCTCAGTGAAGAAGATTATAGGCTTATGAGGGATAACAATTTGCTAGGCACCCCAGGTATGCAATGTGTAGTTTAAAGATTTATACACACACACAGACACATATATATATAAATTGCTGGTCTTTAAAAAAAACAACTGTTTTTTCAAAAAAACGTTTTGTTTACCATTGTGAAGTATGATTTTAATACCAGGGATATAGAATGAAATTTACTGCTGTACTTACTGCTTGATTTTTTTCACTCATATTTGGAATTATCCCTATGTCAGGATTTTTAGTGAGGAATTATATTATGAATTTATAGTAAGCTGAATTGAAAAGAGTGGAACTGAACAGTCTTTTTGTTATTTATCTTTATTTAACTTACTAGACAGTGGTCTGGAAGAGCTAATGGGAACTTTGGTTCTTAGGACAGACTTAACTCTGTTTTGTCATCTCTCATTCTCTGAATATGTCCCAATCATAATCAACCAGAGCTAGCCTTGGGTAAAATAGTCAGTTATTCAGAAATTTGTGCTTGATTATTCTGTTTTGCCTCATTAGGTCCCATTTGATTCTAGTTAAAATTCATTATATCACTTCCTCCTCATTTCTGTTTAATTCTATTAATGTTTGAGTAATTGCTTAAATTTTAAAAGGTAAGGTGCTAGCATGGTTACTATGAGCCAGAGTGCATTTTGAGCCAGCAGTACCAGACTTGAGTCAGAATGCCAGAGTTGGCCTTCTTGCCCTGCTATATATTAACAAATCAGCTCACTTACTCTGAGTTTGTCTTAAAATGCAGATAATATCTATCTCCCAGAGTTGCATTTTTAAAGAATGAGATATTGTATGCAAAAGCATACTGTAAACTGGAAAGGAATACGAATAAATATAAGTTGTAATGTCATACTCTCAAATAGGTGAATTTTACTCAGGTTCCCACTCTTTGGTTGTCATCTCAGATGGATAAGTCACTGGATTTTATTTATAACTTCGCAAACATTTTAAACTGTTTTCAGGTGAAAGTACTGAGGAAGAGTTGCTGAGGAGACTACAGCAAATTAAAGAGGGCCCACCACCACAAAACTCAGATGAAAATAGAGGTAAGCTTTTCTTGGGAGAGGGGGTGTAAAGGATGAAATGGATAAGGAGCTTCCTAATGATAAATGTCAGCCAAAGATAATCCAGCAGTAGCACAAATTAATTTGGTGTTAAAGTAACTGCTCTTAAAAAGAACTGGCATTTTCTTGATATTTGGTGAGAATGTTAACTTTTTTTTTCCTGCTTCACCTTTGGGATTTTTTTGATATAGGAATGTCCTGTCTTAAATGTGATCATTTTTCTTGATTTTTCTTGATTTTCTACCTTCATTGAAATTTCCCCATACCCACTGAATTATCCCTTCCTTATAAACCTGAGTTCCTCACCAGCAGAAAGGTTGCATTCTCTAATCTGGTGGTTCTCAGTGAGGTATAATGTCTGGAGACATTTTTGGTTGGGAGTTTGCTGTTTGCTCTAGTGGGTGGAGGTCAGGGATGCTGCTAAACATCCTAAAATGCACAGCACAGCCCCCACAACAAAGAATTATTTGGCTCAAAATGTAAATAGTTGCACTGTTAAGAAATCTTGTTCTTCCCTCAGGTCTGGTGTTTCTTCTTCAGTGTGAAATATGATAACAGTTAGGTTGTTGAATGTACTGTATATGTACTGTGCTAGGTTCAGACTGTTTACTTGTTCTGATCTCTAATTTCATCTTAATTTAAAATCTTGGTAACATGAAGAAGTAACCTGCAAATCTTGTTTATATTTTTGCAATGTCTAAAGCAGTCTTACAGTTTTTAAATGTCCTGTATTTTTATCCGAGGCACTTAAGAGCCCAAAGAAATGCTGTAGATTAATAAAAATTTAACCAAAAAATGTAATTTGAACTAAAATACTAGCCCTGTACCTTAACTGGTGTTTTACATTATTTGATTATGTTAGTGTTTTGATAGTGGACTGAAAAAATGTCTTCTGACAGTCCCCAGTGGTACACTAGCTCTGTATACAATGCTAAAAATAGACTTCCTCCCAATGCTTTAAATTTCTCTAGGATTAGCTTGCTGTTTTAAAATGGAATTGAAAGTTTCTTGCTTTTACTTGCCAATCAGTGCAGTATAGTTTAAAAAAATCTGTAACTTGAAATCTGTTCAGAATGTTTTTCTGTTAATAATATGAAGTTTCGGAGTGTGATTTCCTATTTTTAATAGTTCCTTTTCTCCCCTCCCTTTTTGAAAAACAGGTGGAGACTCTTCAGATGATGTATCTAATGGTGACTCTATAATAGACTGGCTTAACTCAGTCAGGCAAACTGGAAATACGACAAGAAGTGGGCAAAGAGGAAACCAATCTTGGAGAGCAGTGAGCCGGACTAATCCAAACAGTGGTGATTTCAGATTCAGTTTAGAGATCAATGTTAACCGTAATAATGGGAGCCAGAATCCAGAGAATGAAAATGAACCATCTACAAGACGTTCTAGTGGAGAAAGTGTGGACAACAACAGCCAAAGACAAGTGGAAAATCCACGATCTGAATCAACATCTGCAAGGCCACCCAGATCAGAACGAAATTCAACTGAAGCATTAACAGGAGAAGCCCCACCTACCAGAGGTCAGAGAAGGGCAAGAAGTAGGAGCCCAGACCATCGGAGAACCCGAGCAAGAGCTGAAAGAAGTAGATCACCTCTACATCCAATGAGTGAAATTCCACGAAGATCTCATCATAGTATCTCATCTCAGACTTTTGAGCATCCTTTGGTAAATGAGACTGAAGGAAGTTCTAGAACCCGGCACCACGTGACATTAAGACAGCAAATAAGTGGACCTGACTTACTAACTAGAGGTCTTTTTGCAGCTTCTGGAACAAGAAATGCTTCACAAGGAGCAGGCTCTTCAGACACAACTGGCAATGGTGAATCTACAGGATCAGGCCAGAGACCGCCAACCATAGTCCTTGATCTTCAAGTAAGAAGAGTTCGTCCTGGAGAATATCGGCAGAGAGATAGCATAGCTAGCAGAACTCGGTCAAGGTCTCAGACACCAAACAACACCGTCACTTATGAAAGTGAAAGAGGAGGTTTTAGGCGTACGTTTTCACGTTCTGAGCGAGCAGGTGTGAGAACCTATGTCAGTACCATCAGAATTCCAATTCGTAGAATCTTAAATACTGGTTTAAGTGAGACTACATCTGTTGCAATTCAGACCATGTTAAGGCAGATAATGACAGGTTTTGGTGAGTTAAGCTACTTTATGTACAGTGATAGTGATTCAGAGCCTAGTGGCTCAGTCTCGAGTCGAAATATGGAAAGGTCAGAGTCACGGAATGGAAGAGGGGGCTCTGGTGGTAGTAGCAGTTCTGGTTCAAGTTCCAGTTCGAGTCCTAGTTCCAGTTCCAATGGCGAAAGTTCAGAGAATAGCTCAGAGGTGTTTGAAGGCAGTAATGAAGGAAGCTCATCATCAGGCTCATCAGGTGCCAGGAGAGAGGGTCGACACAGGGCCCCAGTAACATTTGATGAAAGTGGCTCTCTGCCCTTCCTTAGTCTCGCTCAGTTTTTCCTCTTAAATGAGGATGATGATGACCAACCTAGAGGACTCACCAAAGAACAGATTGACAACTTGGCAATGAGAAGTTTTGGTGAAAATGATGCATTAAAAACCTGTAGTGTTTGCATTACAGAATACACAGAAGGCAACAAACTTCGTAAACTACCTTGTTCCCATGAGTACCATGTCCACTGCATCGATCGCTGGTTATCCGAAAATTCTACTTGTCCTATTTGTCGCAGAGCAGTCTTAGCTTCTGGTAACAGAGAAAGTGTTGTGTGATTAAGGTCTGAACTCTCAGCTATGTAGCTGGTATAGTGATGGGCAAACAGGAATCACTTGCTTTCTGTCCACTTTTTGAGTGGTGCTTAAATGTAAAGTAGCAACCTAAATTGAGTCATTGCTTTCTGACTGAATCATTGTCCTTTCTCTAATTTCTGTTCCAAAATAAAAGGAAATATTTAAAAAGCAACATGTTAGGACATAAAAATCTGATTTCAGTATCAGTAATGGTTATTACTGATGATTTATCATGTACTTGTCAGTTTCACCTTTGTTACCTTAAAAGGTCTGCCTTAGCAATGACTCTCACCTGTTTCATATTGATCTTTAAACTTTCATATGCCATAGGAAAGAGGGGTGAAGGAAATTCCCAGTTTAGACTCAGTTACAGTACATGTTTCCTAAGTGACTGCTTAAAGCTATACTGTTCCCAGTTATTAGTTGGCACACATTCAGCTATATTCTGAATATCATTTGTTCACCTTTCAGACAAGGTGATAATGGACTTATCAGTGTAAATAACACTAAGATTAGGATCTTCTAAGTGTATAACTGTCTTCTAAGCCCATCACTGTGGCACACTGTAGAGTGAGCTTATAGTTTAATTGAGATATTTATCTTGTGGAAATATTAAAAAAAAAAAGCCTATGCTTGTGTAAGTGAAAAAATCACATTCATTTGTTTAAAAATGTAAAGCTATTTTGTAGAGGCTCAGTACTTTTTCCAATGCACTGTTGTATTAATGCATTAAAAATTGTAAAGTACCATGCTTAGAAATGAAAAAACTGCTTTTTGTGAGCCAACATAGTAAAAAAAAAAAAAAAAACACACCAAACAAAGTACAAAGCTGCTTTTGTAAGTGTGTAGATGTAAGAGCAGAACATATCTATAATATTTAATGTATGTGAACAGCTACTGTGACCTGCAAAGGAAAGGACAGAGTATGGATTTAGGCAGGAAATGAAAGAGGGAGAACAGAGAAAACTGCTTGGAAGAACTTTTCGTGAAGACAGTAATTCCGCAGACATGAACTGGTTTCATATAGTGAGATCCTTGGCACAGTATTCTACTTGAGCAGATGAAGCAAATTTGGCAGAGTTTGGTTTAAGAAAAACAAACCACTACCCTCTAGCACAAGTTACATTGATGTTTTTGCAAGTTTGCTTCTCAAAAAAAAAAAATGGAGGAAAGAGACTATAAACCACTTATTTAGCATAAGAACTGAAGTTGGCACAGATGTGTATACTAATAGGAAAGTCTCAAATTTGCATTGTTTTTGGTATTTTGGTTATTCAAGGTACCAGTGCACACTTGTTACTATCTCTAATACAGACCTAATATCTCATACCTAAAGACAAGATGAAGAACTAAGGGATTTTTATTTTTTGTGAAAAGTGAGTCGTTTTGGTTATTTGAAATTCAAATTTTAATTGTGCTGCCCATATTTGAAGATGAGAAGGCTGACTCACAATCTATGGGATATGCACTTTATGTTGTTTCCTTAGTAAGCCTTGTGAAGAACCCCAGTACTCTTGCTGACTTTCTATTGAGGCAGGTTGGGGTTAGGATTAGTCTGACTGTGGAGGACTGTTTTTCTGGGAAACGCTAGTGGGCCCAAAGAGGGATTGAACACATCCTTGGCTCTTAACAAAGTGAGCTGATGACCCAGGTGTACGTAGTCAGATGCTCTACACAATAAACAAGTCTGCTTTAGAAATTATCTGGCTACCTTAACTGTTACCAACTCAGCTGTAAAGATTATTTCAAAGCTCATTCTTGTATATTTTTCTCTGGCTTTCAATCCTACCTAAGTATCAAGGAAATTGTAAATATGGTAGTTGTTTACTAAGGATATGTACTGCTCTTGCAAGAAAATAACGTCCAAACAAAGCTTCACTTATTTTTTTTTAATATAAGCAGATTTTACTGTTTATGGCGCTTATGTAATACATTTTATCTTTCTACAAAAATTGTCCATGTAAAAGTCAGGATTCGTTTATATTTGTGAGCCTCCTGTACCTTTACTAAGGGTGTAATCTACGGTTTTCAGATCTGCAGGGTAGTCCTGATTGGCTAAAAACAAACTCATTTTCCTCTTGGTATAAAATGTCCCATTATAATAGGGGTGTTCATTTTAAATAGTTTAAAAACAACTGCATCACATTCTAAGCATAAAAGAGTTATTAACAGGTACCTTCCTAACCTCCCAAGATGTATTATTACTCATTTGTGAAGTATTAAGAGGTTAACTCATGCAGAATGCTGGTTATGAATGTAGATACTGAAGCTATTCATAAACACTGGAAATAGAATTTTAAGTTTTTAGCCTTCAGTGCACATATTGGACATGTGCATGTGAAAACCTTTTTCAGTAGCACTCATTAATTTCCATTGGACTGTGTAGAATGGATAAAAATATTTTAGTGGAATTTGCTACTTGATTATTTTTTTTGCAAGGTCCATGACCAATATGTACTTTCTAGTATGGACATTGAAGACAAGGTCATTTGTAGGTGTCAGATGTACAATGGAGAACAAAAATCTTTTTTCCCACCTGCATCCAAACACCTGTTCTCTTGAGGGAGCATTTTCTTGCAAAAGACTTTACATTTCATTTTGTACCTTTGCACTTTTTCTTTATTACAAAAAAGGTTCTGTCTTGAGGACCTTGTTTGAACTTCATGCAGTAATAGGAACAAGAAAAAACAATGTTGGGGCATTACGTTGTTCAATGCATAGGGAAAAAGTACTAAAAACTGAATTTTCTTGAATATTTCAGATTATTTTTAAAAATTCATTTACTAGTCTGAAACGTTTGAGGTGTTTACCTGCAAGCAGCTGACGTGATTGAGATTTATTAGTACTAAAAACAAAATTGAACAAGTTAGCTTTAAAGTTTGCAAACTTCAGCAACACTAGAGGAACCAAACTTAATTTGGAATATTTGCTCTAAAAAGAACACATTAGTTATACCTTAGTGGTGTTAATGGAGGTTGGGGATTGAGAAAAGTGTTCATGTTAGTGTTGGAGTATAAGTAATCAATTGTATAAGCAATTACAAAAAAACATTTAGTACCAGGATTGTGTGTGTGTGTGTATGTGTATGTATGTGTATATACATGCAATCTCTAAAAACATGATCATGGGAGTTCATCCAAAATTTAAGGTTAGGAAACTGTTACAAGTGTTACCTCAAGTAATCCGCTCGTGCCCCCCCACCACCACCCCGTCGAAAACATGTTCTTTCCCTGCCAAGTATTCTCTCCTAATGTCAGTGTCTCAAATTATTTTTATGAAGGGTTATCGCTTAATATACTTTGTATTTAATCACCTGCTTCTCAGATGTCCATGACATGAAGTGGGGCAGCATCAGCCCTAATTTTTCAGCAGTTCTCAAACTACCCACATAATAGGGAAGTGAATGTTACAAAATGCTTTTTAAAAAGCCATTTTTACAGCTTGCTAGAATACAGTGGCACCTTGTGGTTGTTTTTGATACTTTTAAAGATGGAGGATATTTTTATTCCTCCCTTTACTCCACCTCTTTTCTTTGCTGTTTGTGAACAAGAAATATTTGTCATCTGCCTTATTTGAGTTTTTAAGTTTTACCGGCTTCCCTGTCAAATATATTACCAGTACTAAATACATAGAAGCCACATTTGCGGGCACTTTTGTCTTATAAGACTATGCCGATTGCTACTTACTAAAGTATATTGTACCTTAGTAATGCAAGAGATTGATAAGGCACATGTTCAAATGTCAGGCATTTATCTTAATATAATTCGTTAGTATATGTGTAATATTCAATAATGGCTTACCTGGTAGCTCTGTTGATAATGAATCCACCTGCAATGCAGGAGACCCAGGTTTGATCCCTGGGTGGGGAAGATCCCTGGAGAAGGCAATGGCAACCCACCCAGTATTCTTACCTGGAAAATCCCACGGATTATTCAATAATTATTATTCAGCAATATTCAGTAACTTGTAATTCATTAACAAGTAAATTGTTCACTTTTTAAAAAAATGTAAATCAACTTATGCTTCATTTGGAAAGTTAAAATACAAGGTCCAAGTAACTAGTATTTCATTTATTTTTAAATTAGATTTTTAGAAAGCAGCTAAGAAACAGCTGTGAGTTATATACCTACCCTTTACATTTTTAGCATTCTGAAAAGAGTTCTTAACTGGAACATTACTAAAATAGGAATATTGGAACAAGTGAGCAATCTCACTTGCTTTGAGTAACTCCATTTTGTATCTAAAATGCAGTATATTTGAGCTGTTCAAGGAATAACAACAGTTTATATCAGTTTTATGATTATTTTCATGTCTACATAGGTAGACCGTGTTCTAATTCAAATTTCAAGAAAATAGGCACACCCTCCAACAGTCTCAAAATCACCAAAATACTTACTTTTGGTTAGGATTTGCTTACTAAAGACCCCCAAGCTTAGATTGACTGATATCTTAAAGACATGCAGTGCAAGTAAACCCCATAATGTATGACTGTGCCTAGTTATTTCAGGGTTCCTCTATATCAGTTCCTCATATTGCAGATTTTTCTTAATACCAAGATATGGCTGAACTGGCTGCCCAGCCTTAACTCTTTTCAATGCCCCTTTGCTAACATTCTTTGAACTGAGTGATTTGTATGTGTTTTAACTGTCCAATGTTTGGATTTTACCTCTTTATAGCTCCATTTGTTCCTGGTGCTGCTTTTAAAGATGTAGGGCCATGTGATCCGGTATCAAGTTGAGTAGGTACGCAATTGGCCTGATTATGTATCTGTGCCTGTTTTGTCTTCTCCCAAGAAGAGCTGCTTTGGTATAGATGTTTACTTAGATTCGGATAAAGAACTGGGCAGCGGCTTTGGAAAGCTTTCTGAAGCCTATAAGAATCTAAAGGGATTTGGAGGGGGAACAGTAACAAAGACTGCCTTTATGTCTTTGAACATGAAGCACATAAATGTATGTTCTGTAAAGACTATAGTGATTGTTATA